ACTTCGTGCCACCCACTGGGCACTGGTAAGATGGTGGGGCCGGCGGGGGAGGCCCGCCTGCATGGGGCAGAGAGGAGGAAGGGGAGGGGTCCCCAGTGTGGCCGCAGACCAGCACCCCCTTTTCATACACTCACCACCACCGACATCCCCTCACCCCCTGCCCTGAGCAGCCTGAGGCCCCTGGACATCGGGTTCCTGCGGCGGCTCTGCCGGACTGTGAACGTGGTGCCTGTGATCGCCCGTGCTGACAGCCTGACCCTTGAGGAGCGGGAGATCTTCAGGCACAAGGTGGTCCGGGCACCTGCGGTAGGGGCAGCGAGGGGGCAGAGCACAGGGTGGGCTGAGGTCACCTATGTGTGGTCCCCAGATCCAGCATGACCTCAGGACTCACTCCATTGATGTGTACCCGCAGAAGCGCTTTGATGACGACATCAATGACAGGCTCCTCAACAGCAAGATCCGGGTAGGAGGCCCTGGGGGGCTGGGGAGCGTGGCAGGACCAAGGTGGGTAACTTTGCACTCACCCCTCCCATCTGATGACTCATCTCTCTCTACAACTCAGGGAAAGTTCATGTATTTCTAGCAGGTATGACTCTCCATCCACCCAAAAACTCAAGGTGAGTAATAAGTGGGTCACATCAACAGCCCACAGAATGGGAGAAAATGTTTGCAAACAGTGTATCTGATTAGGCACTTGTATCCTGAATATATAAAGAACGTTTACAGATCAACAATAAAAGACAAAATAACCCAATTTAAAAATGAGCAAAGAATTTGAATAGACATTTCCCAGAAGAATTGCCAGTAAGCATATGAAAAGGTGTTCGGTATCCTCAGTCATAAAGAAAATGCAAATGAAATCCTCAGAATAACCACAAAACCACAGATACCACTTCACACCCATTAGGATGCCTCTTGTCAAAATGACAGACAATAAGAGTATCAACGAGGATATGGAGAAATTGGAACTTTCACACACCACGGCGGGAATCAAATGGTGCGGCTGCTTTGGGAATGGTTGGGCATTTCCTCAAAAGGCTAAACAGTAAGTTACCATATGACCCAGCAATTCCACTTCCAAGAGAAATGAAAACCTATGTCCACATAAAAACTTAAGCATGAATGTTCATAGCAGAATTGTTTGTAAAAGGGAAAAAGTGGACACAATACAAGTAAGTCATAAATCTGTTAACTCAGGAAGGAATAATAAATGTGGTCCTTCCATACAATGGAATATTTTTCAGCCATAAAAAGGAATGAGGTCCTGACAGATGCCAGTGTGGCTAAACCTTGAAAACATGATGCTAAGAAAAAGAAGCCAGACTAAAAAAGGCCACATATTACATGATTCCATTATATGAAACGTCTGGAATAGGCAACCCAAAGAGACAGAAAGTAGATGAGCGGTGCCAGCAGCAGGGGGCCAGGGGAAGCGTGGAGTGACTGCTCATGGGCCTGGGGTTGCATCTCGGGGTGATGAAAACGTTCTGGAAATAGACAATGACGGTGGCACAATCTTGTGAATGCACTCAAAGCCACTGAAGTGCACTGCTAAAAGGGTGAGTCTGATGCTGTGTGAATCATCTCTCAATAAGGTGGTGCAGAAAAGAAAGAGGGATAGAGCTCTCACATCTTCCTTTTCTCTGAATCAACCGAATTCCGGCTCCAAGCTCCCGTCTTGCTGTCCTTGTACTGTGCTCAGCGTCAGTCCGTCTGGATCCTATAAAGCACACAACAGCCACCAGGCCTCAACCCTCCCCACCAGGGGCTCTGGGGGCCTACCAGCGATTTCAGCCCCCCACAGCCTCCTGGCAGGTGCCTTTGTGCAGTGCATGAACTGTGCATCTGTACCTGGAGGCCCCGTTTCCCATCTGGTCCCCAATTTCTCTACACATCCCCTCTTTCTCCTCTACACTGGAGCAATGAACAGGATTTACTACGAAAGATGCAAAAAGCCTTGACCTTCACCAACTTTTGCTTTCTGCAGCAAAGACAGTAGCCTGGCCACAGCTGGCACAGAGCTGGGGGAAAATGTGCTCAAATTAACACCTTGATAAAACACGCAGACGTGTAACACTTACTGAGGGTTTGCATAGGCTGATGCATACAGAGTGTGCAACAGTCATTACTATTACTACCAATATTATTCCCCATCACAACTGAGCTCTTAGAAATAAAAACAAACCCACGTATAGCACCTTGGAGTTGACAAGTTTGAATCTCCACTCCTGACCACTAGCACGTGGACAACTAGCATGTGCAGCAGGGCTCAGCACACTGTTTTGGGAAGGGCCGGATGATGGCAACTATTTGGCACTTTGTGGACCAAGTGGTCTCAGTTGCAATTACTCAGCTCCACTAGTCACGTGAAAGCAACACAGAAAATAGTCGATGACGGGCAGAGCCGCACGCCAGTAAACCTCACCCAGGAAGATGGGCTGCAGGCCTGATTTGGCTCATGAACCACAGATCGCCAGCCTCTGGCTCGCAAAGCTCGTTTAATCCCCATGATAACCAGGGAAGGTGAGTATTTTTCCCGGTTCACAGGTAGGAGTTTGACATTGGCAAGATCATATTATTAATCAACCACAAGCAGCAACAGTTTCCGAGAGTCACTCCGCCCAGTCTTCGTTGTGCTGAGCGCGCCGCACACATTCACGAGGCCCGTGGCAGCACTGCTGTACAGATGAGGAAACAGAGGCTCTGACCTTTGTGTCCAGCTGAGGCTGGACTTTATGTCTTACGACTTTAGATATCTTGGGCTACTTCTGTCCCCAAAAAGCAGTGCCCACCACCTCTTCCTCTCCCCACCTTCCCAGCGGGGCCAACCCTTCTGTCTCGTCCCCTCCCCATAGGAACGGATCCCCTTTGCTGTCGTCGGGGCTGACCAAGAGCATATGGTGAACGGGAGATGTGTCCTGGGCCGGAAGACAAAGTGGGGCGTCATTGAAGGTCAGTGCGGGGACTCCAGGGAGGATGCAGGTGAGAGGGGTTGGAAAGCGGGGCCCAGCCTGTTGCCCTTGGCATCATTAGCTCCCATCGTGGAGAAGTGAAGCCCACAGCCGGGGAGCAGACAGACCTGGGTCGCGTCCCTCCTTGCAGCCAGGAGACCTCAGGCAAGTTGCCAGACTCTCTGGGCCTCAGTTTCCTCACAATAAAGTGAACAACGTGGTAACATCAGCCTCGCAGGGTGGTTGGACATGGCAGAGCCACTGCTTTACACAATGCTCAGCACCCAGAAGATGCCCTATGCATTTGCTAGAATCTGCCGTGGGCCTACTATGTGCCAGGCATACTGTGTGCATTTCCTGGGGGGGATACAGTAGAGGCAGGACTGACGAGGTCCCTGTCCCCATAGAGCTGACAAGACATTAGGAGATGCACAAGGAAGGAAATCAGGGGCACAGGGAAGGGGCCCCACTATGGGTGAGGCTGGGGGGTGGAGCAGGAGCAGCTAGGGTCCGAGCCCCGAGTTGTCAGTTATCAAAAGTAGTGAAGTATGTACAATATACAAAATGCAATATAGTACTATTAAGTGTATAATAATAAATGACCAGTGGGTTCATGGATTCAACAACTATTTGTAGAAGTTGGGGATCCTGGGGACAAATGAATGAATGAATGCATGAACCAAGAATGGGGCGGGGAGGTGGAGGCTAAGACAGCAAGAAAGGGGGCAAGAGCGGAGGGCGGCATCAGGTGGCGTGTAGCGCGCAGCGGGCGCTCACCTGGTGCTCGCCGAGGGCAGGGCAGGCCGAGCAGAGCTGGCACCCGCTGTCTGTCTTGCAGTGGAGAACATGGAGCACTGTGAGTTCCTCCTCCTGAGAAACCTGCTCATCCGGTGAGGGTGCAGGGAGCCAGGGGGCTGCGGGGACCCGGGGGACACCAGGGCCAGCTGGGCTTGAGCTGCTGCCCATCCTCCAGCTCCCACCTCCAAGACCTGAAGGACGTCACCCATAACATCTACTACGAGAACTACCGCGTCTGCAGACTCAACCAGAGCCACACGCTGCCCCGAGGGCCCGGCTGGGTGGCGCTGGCCCCAGCCCCCACCTGCGCCCCGGCCACCCCCAGGCGCTCGAAGGCCCGCCTGCAAGTCCGCGACAAGCGCGATAAGGAGCACTGAGTGCCCGCACGCCCGGGCCTGCCCCCTGGCACACACTGTGTGGGGCATGTATTAAAGGTGGACATTGCTTTTTATGAAAAGCTGTCCTTTGAAAATTAAAGGCGTTTTGTGAATGACTTCTTTGAGCTATCTGCAAATAAAAACATGGTTCCTTCTTAGGTGGCAGTGTGGGACCCAAGGCCCTCTGCAGTCCTGAAGACCTGGGAGGGCACGTCTCGGACGACCGGCTCTTTGGGTCCCAGAACCAGAACCAAGCTCCAGTTCAGGCTTTGCTGTCCATCTCAGCCCTCGCTCCTGGCACACAGCCAGGCCCACAGTGTCACCAACACTTAAAAACTCCCGTCTTTGGTTGCCCAATCTCCGGCCATCTTCCCCAAACTGTGCCCTGACCCTTCCTCTCTGCCCCGCCCTGGCAGACCAGCGTGGTGGGAAGACAGCTCCAGTCTTGGAGGCTGGCAAAGCTGATGTGAAATCCCCACTCTGCTGCCGACGGGCTCTGTGACCTTGGGTAAGCCACTCTCCCTGGGCCTTGGCGTCCTGGTGTATGAAACGGGGACAATAGTCACGCTCTCATACAAGATCGCTGTGTGGACAAAACACAGTGAATTCGTGGCATGTGCCTGCCACCGCCTGGTGGCATGGCTTTCCAGCAGGGGGGAGGAACAGGAGAGAGCCCGGGCCCAGGGCAGAGGCTGTGCCTGCTGACCGTGGGGGCACATTCAGGACCCTCCAGAGCCCTCACGGAAGCCCGCACATAACTCCTATAATCTGGGGAGCCAGGGGGACCCCCCCAGCACCTGTAGGGAGTGAGCACATGGGGAGCATCCCTGCTGTACTCGTCAGGGTTCCCTGGACAAGCGGAGCTGAGGGAGGATGAGAGATTCATGATGGGAATCCGTTCGTGTGGTTATGGGGGTGAGAAGTCCCACGGCCCAGAAGCTAGAGGCCCAGGAAAACCAACGGTGTGATTTCATCAGGGTCCAAAGGCCTGGGACTCAGGGCCGATGGTGTGACTCCCAGCCTGGGTCTGAGCACCTGAGGACCAGGGGTGCCGGCATCCGAGGGCAGCAGGAGGTAAGGCCTGAGCTCAGAGACAGCAGACTCGCCCCTCCTCCATCTTTCTGTCCTTCCTGAGCCTTCCGTGCGCGGGGCGATGCCCACGCGACGAGGCAATCATTCTCACTTGTCTACTGAGTGAATTCTGATCTCTTCCAGAGCAGCCCTCACAGACACACCCACAGAAACACTGCCCCGGCCAGCTGGCACCCCTGGGCCGAGGGAAGTAGACACATAAAGCCTACTTCAAATCTACATGAAACCCTGGCTCCGGCTCTAAGTCAGCCAGCTCCTCCCCAGAAGCCCCTAGGCTCCCTCAGGCCAACGTATCCGTTGTCCCCCAGTGTGTGTCATGTGTCACGTGGTTTTTTCTGGTCCCTCTCCCCACAGGACTGGGAGCTATGTCGGGGCAGAGAGAGTATCAACTACATACCACTCCTGACAGGTGCTCAGGACCCTGCTGTTGAATGGACGAACTCTGCAGCACCCGCCCCGCAGCTCCATACCCGCTAGGGTCACAGAGCTCCTGATGCCAGGCTCGGGGAGCTCCCAGGGCCCGTGGGGAGCCACACCATCCGCAACCAACATCTCGGAGCTGGCATGTTGCTATGCGGAGGCTGAGCTCATTCTCAGAGGTTAAGCCTGACCCGGCAATAGAGCAGTATCTTCATCTCAAAAGCACACGCCCTTTGGCTCCACAGTTGCGTTCCTAGGAGCAGATCTCGCCAACAGCTCTGCACGGTTGGCACTGGGGGCCAGATCACTCTTCGTTGCAGGCTGTCCTGTGTCCTGGGGGGTGTTTAGCTGTCTCCCTGGACCTCCATCCACAAGACACCAGCGGCACTGCCGCTCCAGTTAGGGCAGAAAGGTCTCCAGACATTGCCAAATGTCCCCCGGAGTCAGGGTGGGGCACAATCTCCCCATCTGAGAACTACCAGCAATGGCACCCAGTAAAGAACAAGGAGCAGGCCGCCTGTCCACCAGGAGTGGCCTGGAAAGGAGCTCATGGGCCCCCATGCCATGTGTGTGTGTCCCGTGGCTGCTGAAACAAATCTGCAGACTAGGTCAGGGGTCTGAAGTTGGTATCCGGGGCCAACTCAGGGGTCAGCAGGGTCGGGCTGCCTGTGGGGGCCCTGGAGGGAATCTGGGCCCTTGCCTTGTCTGGAGGCGGCGGGCATTCCTCGGCTCGTGCCCCCAGCTCCTTCTTGCTTTAGTTGTCACACTTGCTGTTGTCAGATCACCCTCTGCCTTTCTCTTACAAGTGTCCTTGTGATTGCACTGGGCCCCCTGGGAAAATTCAGGATCTTCTCCCACCACTAAATCCTTAAGGACGTGGGCAAAATCCCTTTTGTCACATGTTTCCAACTTGCAGAGTGGGATTTGGGTGTCTCTGGGGCCATTCCTCAGCCCACCACACCATGGCCGGTAATGAATGGGGTCCTCAAAAAGACTGAAACAGCTCTACAATCATCCATGTGTTCACACTGGGAATAGATGTCCAGGCCCACACAGAGGCTGAGGGCTCAGCAGCGAGCAAAACCACGTGGCTGCCCTCCAGAGCCTGCACCTGGCTGGGGCACGACAACGATAAACAGATAAATGCAGCATCTCAGGTGCTCTGCCACGAGGTAAGGCATTTAATTCTTGGGGTTGAGAGGCTTTGCAATTGTAAAAAGCAGGTCTGAGAAGGTGTTGCTGAGAAGGGGATTTTAAGTAAAGACATGGAGGAGGAGAGGAATAAGTCATGGGAATCTCCCAGGGCAGAGCTTTCCAGACAGAGGGAAAAGCAGGCACTGCAAATGCAAAGGCCCTGGGGCAGGAGTATGCTGGATGTGTTCAAGGGGCAGCAAGGAGGCCTGTGCTGGGGTGGTAATGACCAGGGGAGTTGGGGGAAATGAGGACAGGGAGGTCAGAGAAGGGCAGGCCCATAGCCAGTCCGATTTGAGTTCCCTATCATGAGTTTATTTGTACAGGAAGAGATCAGTCACCTGATGAGAGGAAAACAAGGAGCTTTAGAGTGTACAGTGAGTGGCAGGGCATGGGGCATACGTGCCCTGAAAGGCACTCAGGACACTGGAATAGACGGTTGCTTCTAAAGAGGTCAATACGATCAGGAGTACAAGAGGGCAGGAGACTTGATCTTCACTATTATCTCCTTCTGTACTGCATGAATGGCTTGTTAACCAGGGGCATGTATGACTTACTCAGAAAACATTGACACATTTAAAATACTAGCCCTTGTCGCCTCCCTGCAAGGATCTGCTCTGACCAGGGTCACCAGAGGGGCCCCTTCCCAGTCACCCTGCCTCAGCCTGGCACCCCTCCCAAGCCCCAGGAACCCCCTCTCACTGTATTCCCACCGGCCTGCCCACTCTTATTCACTGGGGCAATTTTTTCTGGTGGTGGTGGTGTGTGTGTGGTGGGGGGATTCCAGGGAGGGTGGGTGGCGGGTCCTGCCCCACTGGTGACTGTACCTCCCTTTCTGGAATCGTGGCTGTGCACGCAGACATTCTGCAGCTCAGCTCTGGCACAACCGTTGTGTACCCAGAAACGGCCCACACAGATTTCCTCAGTGTTTTCCGACCTGCACCAGCTGGGTAAGGGAAGAGGCCTTGTCTGCCCCATCTCGGGATTCGCAGTTCCAGCAAACCTGGGTTCCAAGTCCAGCTCTACCCCTTTTTTACTGCAGGGCCTTAGACAAGTCACCTGACACCCTGAAGCCAATTTCTTCAAGTGTGAAATGGGGTGGAAACACCAACGTCCTACCACAGGGTCATGTGAGGTGAACCTGCTCCCAGGTGGCAAGGTCCCAGAAGGAGCAGTTTCTGGTATTGTTTTGTTTTGTAGGCGTGGAGGGTTTGCGTTGTGCATTACACTAAGTGGGTCCATGTCATAATGATACAGTCAGAATATTGAATAACAATAATGAGCATTTTCTTAAATGGCGAATCACAAAATGAATTCCCACGTCTCGGGCACAATAAAACATCCACCAGATTACACGGACAAGAAAGTTCATAGCAGCTTTACACGTGATGGCTCCAAACTGGAAAATGCAAATGCCATGTGACAGAAGCGTGGACCTACTGTGGTACAGTCATACACAGAGTGCCCCCTGGTGATAAAGTGAACCATCAGCATGGCTGAATCTCACAGACATAATTTCGAGTGAAAGCCATCAGACGGCAGAGAGAATACTTGGTGTGGACGTCCTTTGCAGAGTTCAAGAACAGGAAAATCACTCTAAGGTCATAGATCATCAGATCTATGGTTTCGGGCAAGGGCTGGAACATGGACTGGGATGTGAGGGGTCCTTCTAAAGAATTGAAAACAACCTGTATCTTGATCTGAGTGGAGGTTACCGAGGTGTACAGACTTGTAAAATTCCTTGAGCCATACATACGCTTAAGATCTGTGCACCTCGCTGTAGTTATATCCCAAGCAAAAATCTTAGAAGGCAAAGAGAATCTTTAAAAAATTAAAATGGAAACAATATACAACCAACAATGCCCCCTTAAAAATTGGCTGCAGTTATCTAAAATTATTTGTGAAAATATTTGCTAGGCTTCAATATTTCAAGAATGCAAATTCCCAATAATAACTATTTTATTGTTGTTGTTAAAAAGCACATTAAAACCTGTAGTTTATGTCCCCCGGCTCCCTTCCCCCACGAGACCTACCTCCAACCCCCGTTCCCACTTCCATTTGGTGTTTATCCAAATCCCAAGCATTTCTTTACACTTTCATTACATAGGTACATATCCCTAAACTGTACGTTGTATTATTTTGCATGTTCTTATGATTTATGGAAATGGTTTCATACTGCCACTTGCTTTTTTGGTCAGCATCATCTCTGTGAGATGTATCCATCATTCTGTTGATTGACATGGAGATTTTTTTCTAGCTTTTGCCATTACAAACGAAACTGCACTGAACACAGAGGTAGTCAACATTATTCACAAAATCAGCATGTATTAGCCTTTATTATGTGCCAGGCATTCTGTTCTGTCTCTTTTTGTCACAAGGGGCTTATTTGCAGGAGATGTTATTCATTGTCCTGCCTGCTTTCTGACCACGAATTCCTAAAACACTTGAATAAACCCTTGAACTAATTCAGTAATAATAGAGGTACCATGGTTATCTGCACTTTATAGCTAAAAAAATCCCCTGATCTCTGAGTTTTAGGCCCCGAACCCCAGGAAGGTCACATAGTGAAGACATAACAGAACTGGAAGCCACATCTTTGACTCCAGAACCGCAGTTCCTAAGTACCGAGCTAATGCACTCCAGCCACAGTAATAACCATCCTGGGGCCTGGCTCAGTGGTTCACACTGATTCCCAGTCCTTGTCCGCTTTGGCTGAACCTGCTCTGCCAAATTTCCCTGTCTGGGGTGGTCCCGAGAGGCCTGGAAGGTGACGATGGCCCCAGCTCCCCCTTCTTCCACATTCCAGCTCTTCTCCACAGTGCCTTCACCTGGAGGCGGCTGGCTCCCGGGAGAGGCTTGGCACAACTGTTCTTACACACTGCTTCTCATTTTCTGGGTGGAGAGATAAGGCAGATAAAGTTCCAAGTGCTGTGTGGTTCAGGATGCAAACAGGTGCATATGTTGGGCCCGAGGTGAGGAAATGGCCCCTGCGCTGGGGCCGTCCCTGGTCACCGGGGGCACCTGGGGCTGCCTAAACTGGATGAAGATGAAACGTTTCTCTGCCTTGGCCAACAGGTGTCTGCCCGCTGATTAAGCACCGAGAGCCCCACTAGCCATCCCTAAACTGCATGGATTGGTTTCTTAACACCGTCCCAGCATAGGCTGGACACAGGGATGGGAGGGAGGCTGGAGACCCTCCAAATCAGGGCCCAGGCAGCTGAACAGATCCCCAAGAGGAAAGGGCAGTGGGAAGAAAGCCCAGGGGCTGGTGGGTGCTCTTGTAGAGCCCCGCATGTTCCCCAGTCCCTCTACAGCCGTGTGCAGCTTTTGGCATTGAAATTAAATTTAATAGTAGGACTTAAGCCATGCCAGCCACATTCTGAGGGCTGAGTCATCACACGTGGCTAGTGGCTACTGAGCTAGACAGTGAGCTATCCTAGAGGTCACTCCAACTCCTAACCAAATTTGGGTAGTGGCAAGTTTCTTAACAAATTCTTCCTGCTTCGATTAGGTTAATTCCTCTAGAATAAACACTTGGCAGGTGCTGTTACGATAGGTCACCTTTCTCCCTGTTGCCGTGCCACTGGCCACATACCATTCTTTCTCATCCATCAGGACAGTACATCCCCCCAGACTTGACCACAACGTGAGTCAGGGGGCAGCAAGCACATCCTGCTGGCGTGGCGGCCAAAGAGAAGGCAAGACCCCTGCCCAGCTCCTCCAGCCCCGGGGGCCGGGGTTCCTGGCATGGCTTCCTGAGGTCCCTGTGCACCCCACAGCCTCTGGGAACTGTCTCCCTCAGAGGGGTGGAGCGCTGAGCCAGAGATGGGTCCCTGGCGCTGATGTCACGGTTCCCTGGGACGTCTCTTGTCCCGAGTACTGTCGCAGAGCTCAGTGAACTCCGAGACCCAAGTTCATGTGATTCATTTGTCTGGAATTAGGAACCAGGTTACCTCGGAGCACCTGCAGGCGATTTCAAAAAATGCAGCAAATGAACACGGGGAAGACAAGTAGCGATTCTACGCTGATGGACAGTGACTGTAACGGGGTGTGGGGGGGACTCGGTGAAGGGGGGAGCCTAGTAAACATGTTCTTCATGTAATTGTAGATTAATGATAACAACAACAACAAAATGCAGCAAATGCAGTGATGCACACTTGAGAAATGAGAGCTGATGTGGGGCGCCTCCGTTCCAGGGTCTGTCGGGAGCAGTACGGAGGGGAGGGGAGGGAGAGCGTGACGGTGCCGCCGGTGCAGCGTGGCGGGGAGGGGCTGTGGCGTCTCCCTCAGGAGCAGGCTGGGCCTGCCCTCCTCCCGGCTCGCATTCCTTTCCCCTGAAATCTGGCTGCAGGGAGGAATGCGGGTGGCACGTTGAAGGGCCTTGAAGGCAGCCATGTACAGCAGTCCCGGTGAGGTGCGGCCGGGCAGAGCCGGGGGGGACAGCCTGAGTCAAAAGGGGTTGGGGACCTGTGGGTTTCTTCCTGACCTTCTGGGAGCTGGTGGCAGATCTGCCTGCAGGGCCTGGAGGCCCTCCCTGACGACGCACTGCCCCATGGGACAGGGAAACAGCCCTTCAAACACCAGGCGGAGGCCCAGCTAGAGGAGCTATCCCTCCAGCCAGCCGCCTGCAGCTCGGCCGAGGGATGGACTGGAGAGAGGCCCCCAGGTCTGGTCAAACGGGGGTGAGTGAATGTCCTTCGAGAGGAAAGAAGCTGTGCAGGGGAGGGAGGCCTAGGGAAGGGAGTGCCACAGGGGGCCAGCTTCTGTGTGCATCTGCCCTGAGCCTGGTGGGTTGTGCACTTCACTTCAACCCGTGCCCTTCCCCAGGCCCAGCAGCCTCCTGGCATTGGAGACAGCGGCATCGGCCACACCCTCCCTTTCGGTCTGGTTCCAGGTGAGGTGCTCCCGCTGGGCGGCATCCCTGTGTGTCCCCCACTCTTGCTACAGGACACTTCTCTTCGTGGGTGTTACAGGTGCTCCCCTCCCGGAGGGACCCCTTTACACCGATCCTCACGTCCTGGCAAGTCTTGCATTCTCCCGGATGCCGCCCAAGCGTTAGGTGTGTCCTGGAGGATTCTGGGGCCCAGCAGTGAGCTTGGACAATTGCTTCAAGCCCGCTGAGTGTCAGAATCTCTTGGGACTCTGGGCAAAAACACAGACCCATCCCCCAGCCCTGGCCTGGAGTTGGTCTCCTCTGCTTGTTTATTTACTTTCCAGCTTTACTGAGATATAATTCAATAGCAGACAATTCCCCCTTTGAATGTACCGAGTTGAGTATGTTTACAGGGCTGCACAGTCATCAGCACAATCAATTTGAGAACATGTCATCACTGCCCAAGCGCCCCCGCCTGTCAGCAGGCCCCCCCTCCCCCAGCCCCTGGCAGCCACTGAGCTCCTCTGCCTGTATGCCTGCCTCTTCCGGGCAGGGCCTGCTTGGGTTTTAATCACGCTCTTCAGGTCCCTACATTTAGGGACCATTGGTCAGGGGAATCCTGAAGTCGCCAGGTCACTCCATTTGGGTCCCTGGGCTGGCCCCTGCAGCAGCGCCTGCTAGCTCTTAGAGTGTCGGCCCAGGGGCTGGTCAGCCAGGGGGCCAGCTGCCCCACGTGGCTCGTCCGTGCCCACCTTCTCTGGCCCTGCAGCAGTGGGACAGTGTGGTGGCCATGGCGTCCTCCCTAAGAACAGGAGCCAGCTGTGCCTGAGGAGAGGTGGGTAACAGCATGCGGAGTGGGAGGGAGTGGGGCAGGCACGCGGACGTGTCATGGCACCAGGAGGGGCCTAGCCTGCAGGAGCTCTGGCAGGGACCCGAGAGATGCCTTCTAGCAGGTGCCAGTGGCCTTGGAGGATGTGGCCATGTACCTGTCCCAGGACGAGTGGCAGTGCCCAGGCCCAGTTCAGCAGGACCGAGGGGGGACGCACTGCTGGAGAGCGGAGGGAACGCGTGGGGAGGCCCCAGCCGCTGTCCATCAGGAACCCCGACGTGTCTCTGACGGTGGCTCCTCCTGAAGGCTGTGGTCAGCCCAGCAGTTCCTTACAGGCATGCGTGGCCTCCAGGCCCTGACTCCCAGGGCGCCTCCTGCCTCAACTCCTGCCACCTACCGGAGCGAGGCCGACAGTTCCCAAATTTGGGCGGCTCAGGGAATCACTGGGATGTATTAGGACCTCGTGGCCCCGTGCCAGGGGCTCGGTTCAGTGGGTGCCCCCCGGCGGGTCCACTCAGCAGCCAATTGGGTTCAGCCTGTAAAGCGTCTCTTCGGTAGCCCAAAAGTGAGGCCAGCAGGGCTGCTCACCCACGGCCTGTGTCTCCAGCTCTGTCACCCACGTGGTTGGTCTAGCTGGGCACCCAGGGGTTCCGGCCTCGGCGCTGCCCTCAGCCCCCCAGGCAGAGCTGCTCCCGGCAGCCTCTCCTTTCCGGGCCCCAGCTCCCCAGCCAGCACTGTCCCTTCCCTGTCCCTCTGCCCCTCACACCCACTCCCTGGAATGTGCTCTCCATCGAGAGGCTGCTTTGTATCTGCTACGGCTCTCCCGAGCCTCGGAACCAAGAAGGTGTGCATGTGTGTGAAAAGAAATTTATCTTAAGGAATTGGCTCACGGGATCGTGGAGGCCTGCGAGTCCACAGTTTGCAGGACAGGCCAGCAGGCCAGAAACTCAGGCAGGATTTCTAGGTTGTGGTCTCGAGGCAGAATTCCTTCTCTGGGAAACCTCAGGCTTTGGTCTTATGGCCTGCGGCTGATTAGATGAGGCCCACCCACTGTGTGGCAGTAATCTGCTTAATTTACAGGCAGCTGACTCGCCAACACCTGCCCAGCAACAGTGAGACTGGCATTTGACCAAACAGCGGCACTAGAGCCTGCCTGGCTGGCACAGAAAAGGAACCATCACACGCCTCTGTTTACATTCTCACTTTTTCTGAATGAGTGATCTATGGGATGAATGAAAAGAAACCTTTGCGCTGCCGCGTAGGAGAACGCTGATTCGCCGCATGCAGCTGCTGCCGGGCCGGTCCGCCCCGTGTCTGTCTGTCGCTGTGTGCTGTTCACTCCTGGCCACTTAACCTCGGTGGTGATGAAGCCCCAGGCCCCTCGGGGCACCCGGTTTCCATCCCAGAGCCAGGGAGAGCCTCGGCCCACGCCCCACTCCCTCTCCCCGGAGGAAACAGCCCGCACAGAGGCAAAATGCCTGCCGCTCTGTCTTTCTGAGCATCCAGCTCTGCCACCCAGCCTTCCAATGCCCCTTTGGGACCAGCTCAGGCAGCCGTGGGGCCCAGGAGGGTCTGGCAGGCGGGCTCTGGGGAAGCCCCAGATTAGATTCTCCCTTCTCGTGGGGTTCAGACCCCGGTCACTGTGGTCCTGAAGGGCTCAGGGGCTTAGAGCAAGGTCGGCAGACTTGTTCTGTAAAGGGCCAGCGGGTAAACAGTCCAGGCTTTATGGACCGCAGGGCCTCTGCTGCCATGTTCAGCTCTGCCGTTGTGCAATAGCAGCCACGGGCCATACGAACGCACGTGGGCGCAGTGTGCCCCCTGAAAACTTTCTTTACAAAGGCAGGTGCTGGGGCACAGGCCTGTTTGCTGACTCCTGCCTGAAGGGGAGAGGGATGACCTTAAGGAAGGGACTCCTCGACGGAGGAGAGAGTCGTATAGAATCAGGCTGGGACAATGTGCTACGCACAGGCCCCAACACGAAACTAGCCCCCGAGGAGAAACGGGGGTGCATCAGAAGCTCCCCGTGTCCCCCAGGGTGCAGTGCTCAGTCTCTCAGGTGTACCGTTGGCTGAAATTGCTGGCTTATGCGGTGACCGTCTGCTCCTCCGGCCCCCTGGTGCCCCATCAAACCTCACGCCACAAGGTCCCTGGGTCGGATTTTCCTCATGCTGCAGATGAGGAAGCAATGAAGTGGAGCATTTGCCCAAAGCCACACGGCCTGTGGGGCAGATCCTGAGTCCAGCCCAGGGTCCTCTCACTCTGTGCTTGTCACCACAGCGGTTGCTCTTGAAACTGGCTCTGGGAAGGGGTCTCAGGGGCTGGTCCTGCGTGTACAGCAGGGAGGCTGAGGGGCTGGGACCCAAGCCTTCTGGTCCTGCTCCAGCCAGAAAGCCTGCAGCAGCATCTGTCTCCCTCAGCACTGGGGCCGGGCCATCCCCACGGGGGGACACCCTGCACACTGTAGGGTGTTCGCCAGCATCCCTGGGGTCCACCCACTAGAGGCCAGTTGCAACACCCTCCTCCCCAGTTGTGACAACTAAAAATGTCTCCAGACATTGCCGAGTGTCCCTGAGGACACTTGTCACCTGTGGGTGAGAACCCCTAGCCTGGAGGTCACATGCCCAGGCTCAGAGCCAGCTCTGCAACCTACCAGCCCAGTGACTCTAGGAAGGTTCCCTGACCTCCCTATGCCTGACCTCCCTCACCTGCAAAATGGGATAACAGCACCCACCCTACGGGTGTCGTGAGGATTGCGTGGACCACCGTGTTCACAACAGTGTCTGGCCGTGGCTTGGAGCCTGACCTTGGGGTCTGGCTGACACCCCCGCTGAGTGTTTGCAGGCTCTCCGGCGTTTTTCTCAGGACGCCAGCCTTCTTACCAGAAGCGTCCCCTCCCTGGGAAGCCCTCGGGGGCTGTGCCTTCTGTGCCTCAGGGCTTGGGGTGCAATTTGAGGATGGAGCGGATACGCCCATGAAACTGGAGTGGGTCCGAGTGCCCACGAGCAGGGGCATGACCAAGTCCCTGGGAAGAGGGGGCCCTGTGGGGTTAAAAAGCTGTATACGTTGGTGAAGGGGGGAGCCTAGTAAACATAATGTTCTTCATGTAATTGTAAATTAATGATAGCAACAACAAAAAAGCTGTACACGTGCCCCAGGTGCAGCAAAGGCTTCAGTTAAACGTCCCACTTGACCGAGCACCAGCACACACACACCAGGGCGCAGCCCTCCATGGGTCAGGTGTGCGGACGGGCCTCCGCCAGAGCTCCAGCCTGGTCAGCCACTGCAGGGTGCACACCGAGGTCGGCTTCTGCACCGACCTCCACAGGCACCAGAGGGCCGCACTGGGGAGCAGCGCCAGCCAGAGTGTGCCGGCAGGGCCACACTGCGGGGCTTCGGCTGCCCCACGGCCCCTCGGAAACAGGGTCTTTGCGGACGTACTTACTTAAGATGGAGTCATTTTGGGTTGGTGGGGCCCTAAATCCAACGATTGTGTCTTTACCAGAGGAGAGAACGCACAGGCACAGAGGGGCCGTGGGAAGACGGGTAGAGGCGGCGGTGATACAGCCACAAGCCCAAGACCACGAGCAACGCTGACAACCCAGAAGCCAGGGGATAGCCATGGGATGGCCTCTTTTCGTAGGTGAGACACCGAGGCCCTGAGAGCTTCAAATACCTTGTCCAGAGGGTAGAACTGGCTTTGAACCCAGTCTGAACTCCCATCTCATCATCTCCCTGGTTCGCCCTAACGGCACTTCACAGAGGTGGACTTGGAACAAATAATTTATTTTCTGTCACTGTTTGTGAAACATTCTAAATGAACTCACTGGCGTTAAAAAGGGGTGGAGATGGGGAAAATGGGGTTAAAGAAAAAACTGGCCTTTGTTCTTGATGGCTAGGCTGCCAGGCTGTGTGGGCAGAGGTGGGCCACAGCGAGGTGGCCCGCCCGGCCTTGAGCCCTGACCATGCTGCTTGTGTCCAGGGCTGCAGGGAGACGGGCGTCCAAAGGCGGGAGAAGCCCTGGGGCTGGTGGGGAGGCCCCCACGGCCACATCCGGTGGGACTGTGGCCCTGATGTGGGCCACCAGAGGCCAAGCAGGGCCTGCAGGGCTCAATGGAGCTTGCCCTCAGCGCCTGGCAGCTGGAGGTGACCCCAGCTGAATGCTGTAACACTTGCCCAAGTGCCAGGGAGCCTGCCAAGCCGCTGAGCCCATGGCATGGGGACCCCAAGATGATTTCTCTGCTCTTCTCATGGGACAGGCAGGGCGGAGAAGTAGACTCTTGGAAACAAGCTGAACAAGGTGCCACAGATTAGAGCTTCAGCCTTTTTAGAACTCAGGACTGAGAACAACAGTCATGAAGAGACCGTGGAAATAGCCACGGGGCTGAGAACTCATGCTCGCAAAGTAATGGCCAGAGGGGAGGGAGCACCCCCCGCCCTGCTCTGCTGTGTCCACAAGGCTGGGCGCCGCTCTGCTCCAGGGACAGTTACGGGTGTTAGAACATGCAGGGTTTTAACGATGTTTAAAGGTCAGCTCCACCTTCAAGTTTGCAAGGACCCTAGAACCGAAGTGTGCCTTTGTGTCTTGGTTTAAAAAAAAAGCAAATTTCAGTCTTTAACCCTTTATCAGAAGTCCATTTGGTTGGTGTATGTGTTAATTGAGTTATATAAGATAGCAAGTGTCCAGGGACCAGAAAATCAGGCTAAAAATTCTCTTTTAAGACCCTTTCAACCCTGAAATTCTCTAAATGTCTTACATAAGTTTTATAGTTCTAAAAAACACCTTGTATAATGGAAATAATATATGCACATTGAGGAGAAAAACAACAGTAGTGGAACAGGACGGAAAGCGTCTCAGTCCCACGGCCAGAGCAGAGCCGGCGTAGGGTCATCATCCTCTGCGTGCAGGTTGGTATTGGCATCTTTGCTCCAAATGCATGCAAATGCTCTGACCAAATCCTAGTAGAGGGCTGGCGAACCCCAGTCTGAGGGTCCCCGCCCTGCACAAGGGCATGCTAACAGAGACATGGGAGAGCAAGGGGACCCCCGGAGCCGGGCGTGCTGCTGGCCTCCTCAGAGCCCGTCCCAGACGCACTACAGTTGGCCCAGGGGTGGCACCAGGGCCTCCCTGGCTGTCCCTGGCCCTAGAGGGTCCCCTGGGGTCCTGGGACTTCCTCCTGAGGGTCTGGCCTGGGCACTTTCCCTCGCAGCCCAGACTGTTACATGTTGCTCCCTCCCAGTTCTGGATCCGGCTGTCTCATCAGGGGCCTGAGCCTTCTGGCCGCGGGGACCCTTGGGGGCGGGCAGCCCAGGCGGAGGCGTCCCCTTCCGAAAGGCCCTGAGCTGCTGGAGAAGTTGGCTCTTCCCGGTACAGTCCCTGTGACATGAGAGACATCCTCATCAATGCCAAGTGCAGCCAGACCTCCCAGCACGGCACCACAAAACGGGATGTGGACACAAAAAGCCGTAATGCTTCCAGGCATGTTCCTGGTTCTCAACATGCCAGATAAGTACAACATTTCGGCCCCTCAGTCCTCGCCAAGTCACACCACATGGTGACACGTTCAAGGCTTGCAGGGGGAAACCCACAGGATACTGCTCAGCCCAAATTTTTATTTTTTCCTGTAATGCCCAGTCATATCCCACACTGGGGGAAAAGCTGCGTTAGGCTCTGACGTTCCCAAAGGGGAGGATCCCCAGCTTTGCAGTTCCAAAGGTGACACATTCTGCCGCAGCACAAGGTTCCAGCCCCCCGAGGACCACAGTGGGGGCCTCCGCATACCAGGGAGCAGAGCCTTTTCTGAGGTTGACATTTTACTCCTCAGTTCAGCCACGTCTCTCATTCTGGCCAACGCCCATCACTTCACACCATTCCTCCAGCCCTTCTCCACCCCCAGTGCTGTCACTGGCAGCGGGTACCTCATTCTGGGAAGCTGCTTTGCAGAAAGAAAATGTACTAATCCCTTCTCGGGAGCAAGTTAAGGTGTCCTTGGTGACATCGGGAGGACAGCAGGCCAGGCTGGGATGATGCTGGGCGCCACATGAGCTCCCATCGGACACCCCCCCAGACCCATATGCAATGGCCCTTGGGGTGCAGGACAGAACCACCAGCACCGATTTTAAATGTGCCAGGCCAGGGCCTCATTGCAGGGCGCAGGGATGGGACATTCCCAAGCAGGCAGGCCCCGTTGTGGTTACCGTAGCCCCTGGGAGGAATGAGACGCCTGCTGCGCCAGGCCTCGCTGGTCCCTGAGAAGCTCTCTCTCCTCTTCAGAGGAGCTGGAGCTGCAGGAGAGGACACGTGGGTTTGCCAGGCGTGACTCAGTCTACCTTGGCCAGGCCCAGCTCCCACCAGGGGCTTGGAGCACGCTGGTTGCCCCAGTGACCCAGCACGGGGGGAGAGCAGGCCAGCCAAAGCCCAGCCAGCTGACACCAAAGGCCGCTGGGCTTCGTGCCAAGTAGCAGAGGGACATGCCCCAGGGCATGTGCCCCAGCCCAGATCGCCCAGACCACCCGTAGCGCTCTTCCCCAGCCCCTGAGGAAGAGCCAGGGCCCCTGCCTGGTCCTTGCCCTCCCAGGGGCATTGTCGGTCAGCTGGGCAGAGCTCCCAGGATTGGCCCCCACCATGTGGTCCCGCCTGCCAAGCCCCTCCCTGCTCCCCTCAGGCCGGCCCAGTGGCTGCAGAGCAGCAGGCTGGCCCCTGGGCTTCGGGCTGCCGGCACCTTTCCGATGACCCCAGGTCCGCTGGCTCTGCTGGCCGCAGATCGATGAAGACGGTGGGAGGCTCTGCGGGGCTCCTTAGCCACCTGCCCGCTGCCAGCACGGGGCCCGGCCCCACTGAAGCACATCTGAGAAGAGCAGAGGTCTCCGAGTCACTGCTGGGTGTGTGGTGTGACCTGTGCTGGGCTCACGGCTGCACTGACCGGGCGCCCACTGTGCAGGGCACTGAGGTAGGCCCTGGGAACACATTTGTGCTTTTACTCTTCAGAAGAACCCCCCAGATTTGGGACAGTGCTGTCCCGTAGAACTTTCTGGGATGATTAAAATGTTCCGTATCTGTACTTTATAGTAAGGCAGCCAGTTTTTAAAAGTAGCTATTTAAATTTATACTTAGGCTAATTAAATTGATACAATTTAAAATTCAGTTTCTCAGTTGCACCAGCCGCATGTCAAGGGTTCAGTGGCCACATGTGGCCAGCGGCTACCAAATGGACAGGTGTAGTGCAGGTCTACACATTTCTATTGGTCACTTTGGGCTGCCAGGGACAGAAGCCAACTCCAACTAGCTTTGGTGAAAAGGGGGATTCACTGGCTCTCAGATCCCTAACAAGAGAGGATGGTCGAAGGGAGGGAAGGCAGGGGCACTGCTGGGCCTTAAGGGACCTCAGGGCCCTGTCCCTACCTCTGCCCCAGCTCATCTCCAGTCCTTCTCAATAAGCTGGCCTTCTTCTCCCTCCTGCACCCATCTGGAGACACAGAGACTGGAAATGCCCAGGAAAGTCTCTGACACCCTGACGGGGGTCAGATGCCCAGGGCTGACCCAGTCAATGGTGGCCAGAGAGGCAGGGTCCTACCCCAGGGAAGCCATGCAGATGGCACGGGGAGGGCTCCATTGGGTGTGGAAAGAGCAGGTCCTCTGGGGTCTGAGCCCTCATTCTATCTCATATGGCCCGGGCAAGTCGACTTCTCTGAGCCTGTAAAATGGGGATACCAGTAGCCGCCTACCTGATCATTCTAGAGATAAAATGAGAAATATGCATCAAATGCCCCACCCATACTAGGCCAAATAAATGCAGCCAGGCCTTGGACCAGTTCCAAAGAGAGGAAAGGGGCCGTGGCTGGCAAGAAGTCCCACCTGCTTCCAGCCTCCTGCTGCTTGGTGCCCTGGGGCATGTCAGCAGGCACCTTCCTGGCAGAGGAAGGGGCTCTGGACTGTGTGGCGCACAGGAGGGCGAGCCGTTCCATGAGCCTGTCCTGGGCGCTCGGCACAGGGTGGCCTGCTGGGAGATGCAAGAGGCTGCTCAGTGCAGACACGGCCCAGTTTGATTTGCAGCTGCCTGAGCTTCAGGACCCTGGGGACGCCTCACGCGACACACCTTGGCTTATGCAGGGAGAAGTGACAGGTTAGCCAGAGCCCCCCCACCCAGTCCGTCTGCTACTCACAGCCCATCATGAGGACCCCAGCCCAAGCTCAGCAGGGCCGGGGCAGCTCTGATGCCTCTATGAGATGGCCTCGTGAAGTAGGGGTGACTTCAGGTAACAGTTTACACTAATTTCTCCCTCCCCACTTCCAACTGTTAAAGAGACACTTAACAATCTACATGTTCACTTTAAAAAGAAAAATCAATAGGACCATCCTCTATAGACTTTTGTCCACCAATTTTATGTATATAGATTCACCTCATTGTGCCTACAGTGTTCCGTCGCATACATGATTGAGCTTGACTCCTGCTGAATACTGAGTATGTGTAATTTCCAATATTTCACAATTATAAACAATGCTGCAAGGAACATTCTTGAATACACATCTTTACCCACTGGGGTGGGTATGTGTTTAGGATCAACTCTAGAAGTGGAATAGTTTGAACAAAGTCCATGTACCTTTAAATTAGAGAATAGATTCTGTCACATTGACCTCCAAAAAGGGTATATCAACTACAGCCTGCACCCGGCTCCTGCCTCACAGGGGCACAAAGCCTCAGATCACTTTGCTCCCAGAAAGAAAGAGAGGGAGGCTGGAGGAGGCCGGGAAGAGGTGAAGGTGTGAGTCAAGGGCAGGGACTGGGTCTGAATGGCCCCCTTCCATGTCCCCAGGGCCTGCATGGTCCACGTGGCCGGAAGTCAGGTACCTGAGGAATGAATGGATGAATGAGGGAGGGAGTGACCCGACAGAGGGGGCCTCTCAGGGACAGTGCCTGAGGGTCCGGGACTGTGAGGCGCGGGGGCAGGAGGCCATGCCCAGCCCTCAGCCCTAGTTTACTGAGAGCCCCTGGGAGGGGCGGCTGCGGGGCCCCAGCGCTCCGTGCGGACCTTGGCTCTGGCAGTCAGCTGCCCGCGCGGCTCCGGGTGCGCCCCCGTCCCGGCCATCCTCCTGCCCTGCCGGACTCTGAAGAATGTGGTCCGCATCCAACTCTTCAAGTTGCTGCAATGATTAACGTGGTGATTATGGGGCTGCTGCAGGGCCCCGGAGCCTAGAGTGCCGACCTCACAGCTGCTGCGGCTGTCACGGGGTGTCGTGGGGAGGAGTCAGAGCCTAGGGGCACGCTCGCGTTTGCAGACGGCTCACTCACCCGGGCTGCACAGTGACCCTCCTTGAGGTGGGTGGGGCCTGGGTTTCCTGCACCCTCCTTCCTATGCCTTTTTTGGGCAATACTTTTGTTTTCGGCACAAACACATTGTTTAACCTGAGGAAACCTGGTGCCGTCTTAGAACTCTTTAGGCTCACAGGGGTTGGAAATGTGAAGCGGTTAGAGCGTCTTGCTCTTTTAAGAAGCGATGGTTCTAGGCAGGTGTGAACCCCGGAGGGCTTGGAAGAGCCAGCTGCGGGTGCAGGGTGGGCTGTGCCAACAGGAGGTGGGGGTTAGTAGGGCTGATGTTCTTATGTGGGACCTTGCAGCTCTTTGCAGCCTTAGAGGTGAGTGAAAGCAAGTGTTCAGGGTGACCAGAAAGACAATACTGGTCTTTAAACAGCAATGGACGACCTTCACATACACTTTGATGCCAGTTTTCTCTAAGTCGTTGAGAAAATTATCAAAATTTATAAATAGGGCAGAAAGAGAGAACTGCATGACGCTTGGATGTCATGCTGGAGCTTTGCTGACAAGCCCACCTTTCTAGGGGAGACCATTCGGTTTGCACAGTTGACCAGGGCTCACCTATTTCACAACTTTGTAAAAACGAGAAGGGACGGTGCAGTGGTTTCTCTTCCTTCCAGTGGAGCAGAAAACCCCAAGGGGACGATTTCGTTGCCTGGTAGGTGTTCACTGATCAGGTACTTAATGGAGCCATTTTACCTGGCATTCCTTTCTACTGCCCTGGTGTTTTGTGAAACCCCGCTTTCTCATCACCTCCTTGAACCCACTTTGTCCTCCTGCTGGTCCCCTCAATAATGAGCCGAGTACAATGACAACAGGTGCTCGCTGTCTACGTGAGAATGAGGGCTTCGAGTTGAGAATCTCACTTCGACAAGGTCTGTTCTGGAAGTCATATGTGGTTGTACGTCTTTATGAGCACGCTTGGGGTCATTACGCCTTTTCTCTTTTAAAGAAGGCTGGAGGCTCCTTACTGTTCCTGGTTCTCATGAACTCCACCTGCGGGTCTGTCTGGGGGGGCTCCACGCCCACTGAGGTAGGCATGAGCCTACCCACTGGCTGACCACTGGCCTACGGTCGTTCTGACGGGAGGAACGTTTGTGTCCCTCCAAAATTCACAGGTTGAAATCCTAACCCCCAACCCGATGGTGTTCGGAGGCGGGGCCACTGGGAGGTGATGAGTCATGGGGTGGAGCTTCATGAGTGGGTTTATCGTGCTTATAAAAGAGGCCCCTGAGAGCCTCTGTGCCCCTTCCACCTCTCAAGGACACAGCAGGAAGAAAGCATTTGTGAACCATGAAGCTGCGCTCATCAGACACCGAATGTGCTGGCGCCTTGATCTTGGACTTCCAGCCTCTAGAACTGTGAGAAATGAATTTCTGTTGTTTAAGCTGCCCAGTTTGTGGGATTGTGGTGGCAGCCCAAAGAGACAAGGACGGGTGTAGTCAGCCGGCCTGCAAGCTGGCCTGTGCAGGACGAGCTAGAGGCCACCGCGCAGGGGACGCCCCAAGGAAGCACAGGGCAGGGGAGGTGCCTACCTGCAGGGAGAGCATCAGCTGTCCTCCCCGGGGGGCCTCTGGTGGCATTTCTGGCCTCGGAACTGAGGCTGCAGCTTCCCAGGGCATCTCCACTCCACTTCGGCCCCTGCAGGCTGGGTCCCCGGGGTGCCATGGGACTTTATGGAGTATGTCTTTCTCGATCATCTTCCTTCTCTCTCTCTGGAGGGCTCTGCGGTTTTCGGAGTCTGAGCTCTGATGGGCTTGTGGGGCAGCGCTCGGGGGCTCTGTCTTTGGGTCTCCTTCACAGGGGTACAGGGTGGCTTCTCCCTGCGGCCTCCAGGGAGGATTCTGGGTATTGAAGGACATGGCCCCAAGGTCACCTTCCTGCCCTGTGGGCAGGTCCTCGGGCCTCCTGAGGAGGGAGCTGACCTCCCCACAGCTCTCCAAGGGCCCAGCAGGGTCCCTTCTCTCCAGAGAGGCTGCATCCGTCGCCCTCGCGTCCCATGCACTCCAGGGCTCTGCGGCGAATCCCGCAGGCTCCACAGCTGGCTGTGGAGAAAACAGGTATCCTCGGTGAACACCCTCAAAAACATGCTTCAGGGACTTTTTTTGTGTGTGGTAAACTATGTATGTAACATAAATGGTGCCATTTTTGACCCTTTTTAATGCACCATTCAGTGGCATTAAGTACATTCAGAAAGCGTACCCATCATCACTATTTCCAAAGCCTTTTTATCACCCCAAAGAAACTCACCTCTCCCCAGGAACTTCTGATCTGCTTTCTGTGACTCCACCTGTTCCAGGCGAGCAGAATGACACAGTACGTGCCCTTTGGTGCCCGGCACTCAGCTCACTGCTTCTGGGGCTCACCCATATTGCAGCAGGCGCCGGCGCCTCATTCCTTTTTCATGGGTCGAATGATACTCCGTTGTGTGGACAGAACCCTTTTAGTTTACCCATATGTTTGCTGAGGGTGACCTGGGTTGTTCCACCCTTCAGCCCTTGTGAACAGGTCACCCAGTTGTTCGGATGGACAAGAAGCAGCCCAGGCCCTCCGACTCCAGAGAAGCCCACGGCCTCTGCCTCCCTGTGTTGGGACAGGTTTTCCCATTTCAAAATTTAAAAAAAAAAATCCAGAGGATCTGCTGAGGTAATTGTAGAAATGAAGAAAACACGAAGTAAAGGCCTGCAGACATTGTTCCACCTGGAATAACCAGGGGTCTTAGCATCCCTGGGAATTTTCCCTGTTGGGGTTATTGCACACATACTTGTAGGCGTGGCTGAGGAAGTGGGTGGTTTCTGTCGTGGTGGTGGGTAGGGGACACACCCCGGTTCTGACCACGTGTTGGCGCTCACGCTGATAACTGCAGAATCTTGGCTCCGTGCCTGACCGCCCCCACAGACCCGCAGGGGGACTCCCGCGACCTCCTGCAAGGCCCCTGGCAGCGCAGCCCCCAGAACGACCCTGGCCCCCATACAACGCCTGCCTGAGAAAGCTCGGGCGCCGCCGGGAGAATCTGCTGTTTGTTCTGACCCCTGGCCTCCCCTAGAGCATTTACTAAAAAGGGTTATAATTGTGCATCTGTGTCTCTTACAACTGAGAAGTCTCTCGAGGACCTGAGAGCCGCTGCTTTGAAATGGACTCGTCAGGAAGGACAGGGCCTCTGTCCCCCTTCCGGTGGGAGGCTGGACTCCCAACCCCCATGCGGGCCAGCCGGGACACACCCGGCCTAACCACGCCTGTGCTGACTGGCTCTGTGTGATTTTTCACTTATCTGACCCTACTGAGCCCCCATCTCCCTTTAGAACACCAGGCACCTCTGCACTCACTGGGTGGGGCTCAGCCCTTTCCCCTGCTGCCAGTGGTGACCTCCTAAAATCCGCTGCTTCCACTTTCCTAGCGTCTGGCCGTGGTTGTCTCTGGCAGCGCACCCCACTCCCCTGGTTAAGGAGTGCCAACTGGGCAGATCGGTCACACTGAGCTAGGCCTGTCGCCTGCAGCTTTTATATGCCAATGACTGCTGAGCGGGCCTGACCAGCTGGGGACCTGCCCACTGAGGAAAGCCCTTTGACGGGTTGTTTATAAAGGCAGCAGTTAATTTTAAGCATCAAGCCATTAATTTTAGATAGAGTTCTTGGTCTTTCTGGGGGCCCTGAGAAATGGGGAGCCAAGAAGCTAGAAGATTCACTGTGACACTGGTGATGACTGCAGCTATGGTATCTAGTGACAGAGCAAGCTGTGGGGCCAGCTGGCTGTCTCATGTGTGCCTCACCCTCCCAGCTAGGGGCACCTTCCTACCTGTGAACCCACTGTCACCCTTATGAATCAACAGATGTTTAGGGAGCACAGGACTCTGTGATGAGCCAAGCAGGGCTGAAGCTGGCTGGATTAAGTGAAAGGCATTTATGATAACAAATTTTGACCATGGGCAGATATTTCTGGGTGCCAAGGCAGAAAATAGAACAGCAGGGGCTGGGGACGGGAATGGGTGTGTGTGCGCATGTGTGGTGGTGGGTCAAGGGCAAGATCAGGGGCAAAATCAAACAGAAAATCCAGCCCCTGCCCCCAGCCTCAAGTGTGCTGGGCTCCTGGAGAGCGATGTGCGTAAGGTCGGCAGATGGCTGGTGCCTGAACCCGTTGGTCGGCCTGGAGAAAGGCCTGGGGCGTAGAGATGCTAGACCAGGGCATCTGACCTCTGGCCCGCACTGCTGTTAGAGGCCGGTGAGCCGTGGACACCCACACCCCATTCTACCCCAGGGCCCTGGAGCCTTCATCCCACCGACCTCAGGATTGTTGGCTCTTGCGCCGCAGGCCCCAGAAGTGTCTCCAGCCAGCTCCTCAGACAAGTCCGGAACCAGGACGGTTTGGTTTCGCTGGAAGATGAACAGCTCCTCCTCCCCTTGGTCCGACTGTAGACAGACGAGAGGGCTTCTGGATTACGCGACGGCAGGTGGGTCCAGGAGGGCCTCAGCCTCTGCCTGCCCTTGCCCTGCCCTGCTGCTCAGGAACGGTCTGGGGAGGGCAGTTCTCTCCCAAAGGGCCTCGCCACGGCTGGGTCTTGCCGCTGGATTAGAAATGGGCTTAGCCATACCACCTCATGGAGGTGAGAGCTGGGGCTCCGATTTCTGCAAATAACTGCTAAGTCATGATCTCACATACCACCTGGTGCTTAGTTAATGCCTGGTGCTCAGTGAACAGGGTAGCAGGATGGTAGTTGAAACAGAGTCCATCCCGAGACTTTGGGCCATCGCTGAAATGACACAAGAGCCTTGGTGCCTCTAAGGGGGTGGGGGGCACTTACAGTCAGCAGCCCACCTCACAGGGATAGTCTGAAGATGAGAGCAAATTAGACTGAAAACATGAAAAGGCACTGGAGCCATGTTATCTGCTCTCCATTAGCCTTGCTGCAACTGGAAGATCCCTGAGGCCCAGGAAGCTCTGCCATGTTCATCTTTGCAGGTGCCCCAGGTTGGACCCAAAGTGCCATTTCTCTAACTGCCAAGCTCCAACCTGTGTGTTTGGCACCCACTGCTGAGGAGCTCCCGCCCAGTGCACGGTCCCCCTGTCAGTAGGTTCGCTGTCATGTCTTACATGTGTGCACACATCTAACTTCCACCACATGGAGAAGCTGGTACGGCTCATTTAGGCCTGAATTCAGTCACTTTTGTCACCCAGCATTCTCTCAGCAGAAACTAGAAGTACAGTTTCGGCAAGGCATCCTGGTGAGGAGGGTCTGCCGCAGTATATGCACTGTCACAAAGGGCTGCGTGTTCCTGAAGGGGCAGAGTAGGCTCTGTAAATGTTTGTTGAATGAATGTATGTGATCGATAACAACATTACTATGTATTGTGCTGTTACCGTGTCCCAAGCACTCTGCAGTAATGCAGATTTAATTCTTACAACAGTAGTAATTCTACTACTATGTGGGGGATGAAAACAGACTCCCAATCAGAGCTGGGATTTGAACCTGAGCAATGTGAAGCCTTGGTCCTTAACTCACATATGATGCACCTGTCTATTATCTTCCTCCACAAAAGCAACCTGGGGTGTCTGCCAGGACAAGAAAAATGCCAGGATATAGACGATTTTTTTAACTCTATTAGTTGAGCACCAGGCACTTTGCATACAGTCCCGAATGTGTCCCAGTGATACCTATTTTGCAGCAAGGACACTGAGGCTGACCCAGGTGTGGCCATCACCCCCAGGCTATGTGGTAAGTTAGCAGCTAAATGGGGGGGAACCCATTGCTTGCTGCTGCAGCCCCCACTTGTTCTGTTCCGCTGCAGTGCTGCCCTCTGCTCTCTTTTGGGCCAGGACGTGGCCAGCACCGCCACTGAGAGTGGCTACCATTTCAGTACGTCAGGAAGAGCCCTTGGAGGAACATTCCAGTGGTGGTTTGGGGGTCAATGAAATGGCCCATGAGGATGCTGAGTACCAGTAAATGTATTCAGAGAATAAAAACTGAGCTTATGATGAACACAGTGGCTGATAAGTTTCAAAGCTGTCCTTTGTCATGGGAAGAAAGGGTAGTTGGGGCCTAGGAAGATGTAGGAACAGGGCACTTGCTTACCGAGGAGGAATCCGAGTCTAGTGAGGGAAGCTGCTCCCTGACGGCCGCGAGGATGGCCTCCCAAGGTCCTGCCTGGGAGGCCCAGGGAGAGGGCAGCGGGGGCCCCACATCTTTGTCTTGGGATGCCATGGGTGCCCAACTCAGGGGATGCTTCTTAGGGCACCATCTTCCAAGCAGCCCTGTAGATGACACGGGGTGAAATGAGGGGCCAAGGGTCAAGTTCTTGGTGGGGGGCTGCCTTTTCAAAGCATCTACTACTATGTGGGGGATGAAAACAGACTCCCAAGCCTCTCACCCTTTTCCTTTCTGGTTCTGCAGGAGTGTCAGACGCTGCCATGAAACACACACACACACACGATATATGATGTAGATTTATGTATTGATACATAATGGTATATGTAGGTGTATGAATACGCTACATAGAATGATGTATGTATATGACTGTAGGTTTATGTGAACTATACATATCCCACATTACATAGATACTGTACATTTTTAGGTTCAGAGAAGATATACTGTTAGTCTATGGCAAAGATAGAATTTGTATCAGAGTTAGAGGCACTTTCAAGCCCAACTACTCTTTGGTGCCCCCTTTTACAAAGGAGAAGAGATTTTGCAGTTCCCAGATTTTTTTTTTGAAGTCACCATTCCCCAAGTCACTTTAGACTAAGGCACTTAACCGGCGCTCCTCCACCCCCAAACCCATGCCCTTTGTATCTCAGAGTCTAACAGGAGAAGAGGGTCAAAGGGGGCTTTAGGAACGTGGGATGATACTTCAGAGCCAGTGTCTGGAGAACCCTGCAGCCTGAGAGGCCGCTGTGCCTTTGAAATGGTAAGAGGGTACGCCTGGCGCAGCCGGGGCTGGCCGTCGCTCTGTTCAGAGTCCCCTTCAGGGTAGCAGCAGGGACAGGAGTTGGGGGGCTTCTTGCTTCCGTGCTCACAGGAGGGGAGGGAGGAGCAAGGTGCACCTGAACTGGGACCGCAGGGTGGGGACGCATCTGTACACACGTCACGGGGAGTTTCTGGAACCAGAGCTCTGCACAGGGCAACAGAATCAGTGAGGTGAAGGAGGCTACCAGAAACAAGTTCTTCAGGCGGAGAAGGCGATAGGAGGTAAAGGCAGTGCCGGCTAGGGGAGGAGCATGCGCAGTGAGTGCCTCGAGGAGCGAAAAGTGCCCAACGGGGGAAGGTGTCAGGTGCTGGCACATGCGGAGAAAACGGACCGGATCTTAAAGGGTCCTAAAAGCCAAGTTGTGCAGTTGGGTCCAACCGGGTTATGCCAAATGCTCCGCGCAAAGGCCGCTGGGGGCCCCTCCGAGGCCTGACTGCCTCCGTCCGTTTCCTGGCTGTAGCCCGTTGGCCCCGCCCCGCCCTCTCCTGCCTCGCGGCGGCCGGTTGTTATGGCAACTAGACGCCAACAGCCTCCCGGGCCAGGCTTTCAAATTCTCCAGCTGGGAGCCAGGAAAACCATCGCCTGTCTTTCCATTCGCCCCCATTCTGTTTCCCCCCGTCTCTGCAAACCCCGACATTTATCCCGGCAGCTGCGGCGGGCCCGAGGCCCCTCACCTCGGGCCTCCGCCTCCCCTCCCGGCCCTGGCAGGGATCTAAGGGGTCTCTGGCGCTCCCTCCGGTCGCGTTCGCCCACTCTAGCTGCGGCTCAACTACTGAGGCTTTCACCCCTTCGGAATCCCCTCCAGCGGAGTCTTAAGTTATTGACAGCTGACCTCATTCTCCCCCGGCCCCTCTTTCAGGACTTGGCGCGTCCTGCCTCCCCTGGCACAGGATTGGGTGCCCTGGCCAGAGGCGGGGCGGGGCAGGAGAGCCGCCCTACTCATTGGCTGCCGACGGCGTCACACATCCCGCGGGATTGCTGACCGGAAGGTCTGGTAGCGGGACGGGTGAATTCCAAGGCGCCGGGAACGGCCTCGCTGCCCCGCCAGCATCCCGGCGTGCTCCGCGCCTCCCGCAACCACTTCCGGGGCGGGAGCGGGGCCGCGGGGACCGGACGCTGCGGCGGCGGCTGCCGGCGTGGAGGAACCGCGGGCGGGCGCGGCGGCAAGCGGGCCGGGTCGGCCGAGGGAGCGCGGCGGCGGCCGCCCGGGGCCCAGCGCAGGTAGGCTCCACGGCGGCCCGGTCCCGCCTGGGGCAGGCACCTGCTGCCCGCCGTCGGGGCCCGGCGCAGCGTGTCGCAGCCCTGCCACTTGCTCGCAGCGTGAGTTTAAGCGTCTGCGCCCCCGGGGCGGGGGCTGTGCAGTGCGGAAGAAAAAGCCCTGTGGCATGTAGAGTTACAGGGAGGTGTCAAGGGGCGTCCGCGGTGTAGGTGCTCGGGTTGTTGCCTAGGGACCCTCCGCAGAGCCTGAGAGCTAGAGTGGGTCTCCCCTCCCCAAGGAAGGCCCACGCCCCGGGCGGGAGGGTGACCTCCGGCTTTCGCAGACCCCGTCTTCGTGGGCGTGATGATCGACTAACAGCGTAACTTTTTAGTTAAGGATTTTTGGCTATTTTAAAAGTCATGGGTACTGAGCACTTTATAAAATGGAACATAACCAAGAGGTAGAGAGAAAAATAAAAAGGTCCCATCCCCAACTTATCCTAGAGATAAGTTCTGGAAGTGATATGCAAAAGACATTTTCTACAAGTGTACAAATCTATGCATGCATTTAATCATTTTACTCATAACGAATACATCATCATTGTAGAGTGTCTGGCATGTGGCAGGGTGGTAAAGAAAGATTTATGGTCCCTTGGCGTCCATATTCTCCCTGCATAGGCTCCTTGAGCCCAGGTCTGGTTCTGATTGCCCCTCAGCACTCTGCAGGGTGTCAGACAGGTGAGACTCCAGTAAAAGGAAAGAAAACATGGATCCTACCGTGGAGGACGCGTTTGGAGTAGAAAAAGACATCTAGGACCTGACGGGTGTGTGGAAAGGGACCCTGAGCCGACACACTCATCCATGTGATGACCCGGGCTGTACAGTGTGGGGGTTTTCACTTTCAAAGTGAGAAAACTGCTTGGTCTCATGCCCCGCGGGTGTGAGGAGGTGGGCATTCCAGGAAGCAGGGATTTGCTGTGAACTTTCTTACCTCCGGGCCTATCACATATATACATTCTCTTGCCAAAGACCTATAGATTCTTTGTCCCCTATATCGGTAGCTTGTTGGGCCATTTTCGCTGTCACCTGGGGCTTGGAAGCATTCTTTCGTAGAGACAGGTCCTGGTGCCATCTGGAACCACTATAGGACTTGACCTGCCTTCTTTTCTCCTCTCTCTTCTATACCCGTTTCCTTGTTTTTAACCACCAAGAGTTAAATAAGGCAAGTGTCCCTCCTGGACTGAAGGGTTCTGCTAGGAAGTTAATGACTTGGCTGTGATTCGGTTAGGATTCCCAGAATAAAGGCCTCTCATAATCACTCCTCATCCTGGTGGTGGGCCATCTCAGGGAAGTGTCACCCCACATCACCAGCTTATCACATTCTCCCCATTTCCTCTGCTTTCAGGGGATGCACAGATAGGTTCCTAGTCAGTTAATATTTGCTGCATACCAGTCACATCCTAGTTTCTGTGCTGGGGCTTTCTTTCCATGTTTTTTTCCCCTAAATTTTTTTTAAAAATTTACATGCAGTAATATTTGCTTGGTGTTCAGGTATGAGTTTACTGATCAAGATACAGAATAGGGCCATCACCCCCAATTCCCTTTTGCTCTCCCTTCGGGGTCTTCTCACTCCTAACCCTCTTGCCACTGGTTTGTCTTCCAACTCTTTAGTTTTTTCTAGAATGTCATAGAAATGGAGTCATACAGGAGGACGAGCCTTTTGAGTCTGGCTCCTCCTGAGCACAGTGTGTTCAAGATCTGTTCATGAGTTGTGTGTATCAGCTGTTCCCTCCTGCTTTCTGCTGAGTAGTGTCCCATGGTGTGGAGGTGCCCCTGCCGGTCCACTCTTCTTTGTGTTTTTAACAGCAGCACTTTGCATATTATGTTTCCTTAGACAGTGAGGAACTAGGGATTGGAGATGCTAAGTAGCAGAGGTAAATTTTGATCCAGCTCCAAGTCCAGGGTTCTTCCTACCACTCCCAAGAGCTGGTTTGGGCCAGTGATCCATTTAGCATTTCTTTACTGGCCCTCCAACATGTTATCAGGCTCCTTGAGTTCTAGAGAAATTCCCTTTCTAGAATGTGGACCCTGAGGCTTGAGGATGGAAATTGAGGAGTATACCACAGTTTATGACTCACCTTATATGCTTCTCTTTCTGTCTGGTGACAAGCTCACCAGTATCAGCAGGATGGAGCTGCCCAAACCGTACAGTATTTAATGCAGGCTGTCTTAGTCCCAGGAGGTGCCTGCACTGGGTAGCAGACTGCTAGGGTAGTGACATAGCTGCCTACTGTGGGTAGGAGTGTGACCGTCCTGTTTCATTCCCTGGAACGTGCAGGAAGGAAAGACCTAGCCCCTGGACCTCTCTCCACAGCGATGTCGGAGCTCAGCGATGAAGCCAGTGAGCCAGAACTCTTGAACCGCAGCCTGTCCATGTGGCACGGGCTGGGTGCGCAGGTCAGCCGGGAGGAGTGGGCCGTGCCCCTGGACCTTCACACAGCTGCTTCCATCGGCCAGTATGAAGTCGTGAAGGAGTGTGTGCAGCGGTAAGAGATCTCGGGAGATGTCCTGAAGAAGAGCGATCAGTGAGCCTCTGGAGTCTTGCACACAGTCGTAGACGCTGGGTACACGTGGCCTGGATTAGCCCTTGCTTCTCCGGGGCATTTCTCAGGGGTGATTTAGGCTGCGTGCCAGTAAGGAAGGCGGTTTTATTCCTAGGAAGAAAAAGACAGATTAAACTTTTCTCACAGTCTTAGAGACTTTTCAGGCTTTAATCAGAGTCATTTTATGGTTTTCAGTGATTGCAGAAATGCTCAAACAAACAAAAAAATAAGGATAGATAGCAACGCCCTAGGGCCGCCTTTTTCCAGAGAGCCCGTGTAACCCTTCGTGGCCTCTTCTCCCTCTGCCCTCTGCCCTCTGCCCTCTGCCCTCTGCCATAGAGGAGGCAGCAGGGTTTAGCTCCCTCCCTGGAGGACTGCCACCAGGCCAACTGCCCACATGCCATGGTTCCTAATCTTATATGTGTGTCAAGCCCCAATACAGCACCAGTGGCCTTTGGCTGTGTCCTGTTTATAATACAGTATTAATACTTAAAGTAATTTTTGGAAGAGGATCCATCTTGTCTCCACCCTCTATTTCCACCATACTTTGTGCTGTTTCCATTCCTCATTGGTAACTCAGAGAAGCCACTGGTGTCCTTACCCACATGTCCCTCTTCCAGCTCCTCGGGAGCCCGAGCAGGACCACATTGGGCCCCAGGTTTCCGGTTCCCAGGGCACGGCCGTCACCCACATGTACCTGGCCAGTGGCATGGGAGTGCACTGCGGTACTCCATACCTGGTGGCCATGGGAACGTGGCTGGGCGCACAGGCAGCACGTCCCGTCGGGGGTCACCAGCGCCACATCTTACCTCTGCCCCGTGGGCATCTGTGGGCTTGAGTATTCAGTTAAAACACAGACCAGAAGGGCTTCTTGAAGGGGAAAAGTCTGTGTTCTGATTGGGACTGTGGCCCTGGCTGGGTGAGGCTTGCTCACAGTGAGCACAGACCGGGCCCTGGGGGGAGTGCAGGCCGCAAAGGGAGGGTTGGCTGGATGGGTGCTGCATAGCCTCAGAGACGCCCTGCCAGGGCCACTTCCTCCCCTCCATGTGGACAGCACCGGGGCTGTGGCAGGATGGACTCTCCCAGCCGGTGGCTGCCACTGCGTCCTGGCATTGGGCCTTCTGGAGTGGCTGTGTGGGCATCCCAGAGTAGATGGAAAACAACCGTGTGGTGTACCTTATGCGTGCACACCCGTAGAGGCACGAGCTGTGTGCGTTGACCACTGCTGGAATGGCAGAAGGCTATTGGTGTGACCTCTGCATGGTGTTCCTGGAAGTGGGTGGTATTTCCAGGCCCCAACCCCAAACTCTGGGCTGGGAAGCCCATGTTTTTTTTTTTCCCTGTGGAAAACTATTTCCCAGAATTTTAATGGAAATTGGTGAGAAAGAGGATTCTTTGGTCAAGAATTTCCCAGGACTGTTTCTGGAGGGTGAGGTGGCAAAGGAGGACCGAGCTGCAGTGGAGCCCCCTGCATCCCCTGCCAGCCCAGGACGAGCACTCCCCAGGCCGCTGGCAGGCGGTAGTCAAGGGCCAGGGCAGGGTCTCCGCACCTTGGCACCACTCGCAACGCCGGCTGGATGGTTCTCGGGGGCTGCGGGGTACCCTGTGCACAGAAGGATGCTTAGCAGCGTCCACCTTCTAGGGGCCGGGAGCTTTGCCCTCCCCAGCTGTGACAACCAAAAGTGTCTCCAGACTTTGCCAGACGTCCCCTGGGGTGCACCATCGCCCCTGGTTGAGGACCACCTGTCTGTCCGGTGGTAGGAAAGGGAACCGATGAGAATGTGGCCTCAGGAGGGAGATGGGCACTGGCTCTCGAGGGAGGCAGTTGCACAGGAAACGTAACCATGTCCTGCCAGCCTCCCCTCCCGTGAGGTGCAGGGTACAGATGACCTCTGCTTCCTTAGCAGCACTTCCCGCGTTCTCTTGGCCCCGCCTCGCCGCCCGCTTTGGTCAATGCCCTTGGGAGCCGGCTGGGTGTCTTGCGTTTGTTTAGGAGAGAGTTAGATTTGAATAAGAAGAACGGTGGTGGCTGGACGCCGCTGATGTACGCCTCCTACATTGGACACGATACCATCGTGCACCTGCTGCTCGAGGCGGGGGTGAGTGTGAACGTGCCGACCCCGGAAGGGCAGACCCCCTTGATGCTGGCCTCCAGCTGTGGCAACGAGAGCATCGCCTACTTTCTCCTCCAGGTGAGCTACGAGGGGACTCAGGCCCGAAACCTGAGGGGCTCGCCCGCCGCTCTGGCAAGAGACGTGAACACCGCAGGCCACCGTGTGCATAATCACTCGATCCTTTCAGCACGATGGCCTGGAGGGCACCCGCCCCCGAGCGGGAGACGAAGCTGTAACGAGCGTTCTGTGTTCTCTTGAAGCGAGGTGCTGAGCTAGAAATGAAGGACATTCAAGGCTGGACTGCTCTCTTCCACTGCACCAGTGCTGGGCACCAGCAGATGGTCAAGTTCCTTTTGGACAGCGGAGCGAATGCCAACGTGAGGTGAACACTGAATCTTAAGTGGCCTTAGGAATGGGTGGGTCCCGTCTAACTGACGAGGGCGACTGGAGAAGCAGCTAAAGGCTGGAGTGCAGGGTGGCTCCTGCCTTGGTGTGTGGCATTCCAGACAAATGGGTGGCAGGGACCGTCCACAGGCCTGGGGTGATCGTGGCCTCTTCATGCCAGCTGACGTCGAGTGCAGCACTGTAGCTTTCTGAGCCTCCTTTTCCCTATCTGAAAAGCGGGGACAGCGATGCCTGTGTCATAGAGCTGGGGGAATCGCATGTCCGTCCCAGGCCAGGGACCTCAGTGCATGACACTTAACTGACGTGCATTAAATGTTCATTTCTTTCTCTTGCCTTTTGAATCTATCAGGTGAGGTGATGCTTTAAAAAATGAGTTTTATGAGCTGGAAAGGGGTATTTGTCATCTACAGCCGGTCAAGATGCTACTCCCCCTTCAGTGTAGCAAGAGCTCACGCAGCGGGCCCCTGGCGTTGTGCACGCCCCGGCCGATGTCTCCCAGCGCAGGACACCATAGCTGTAGGGATCTCTAAGAAAGAGAACATGCTACTCCTGAAAATGCAGCTCGCCTACTGATTTTAAGACATTCTGACTTCAGAGACGTTAAAATGTGAAATCGGTGTGCCTTAGAATAGACGAGACCCAGTGTTGTGCCTGGCTGCTGCCTGCCAGACTGGGATGGCAGGAGTGCCGGTTAGGAGGCACTCCGCGGCTGCCCTCCCTGTAACCGAGCACAGAGTAGAAGCACTGGGGCTGGGCCAGGGCGAGGCCTCAGTCCTGCAGCTTGGGGAGGCGTCCTGGAGGGTGTCCGGTTCAAAAGGACGATCTGACCCGCGGAAAGGAGACATGAGCTTTCTTTGAGTGGTGACGGCAACAGCTCCTTTTTGCTTGTGATTAAAGCAGAGACTTAAGACGTAGCAGGTGGAAACAGCTTAAAAGGAGCTAAACTGGGGAGACAGATCATCTTTAGGACAAAAGGCTAGAGCAGGGGTGTGGAAGCCGGAGCTCATGTGGCTCCTGTGCACTCCTGCGGGAGGGAGGCCGCTGCCCTCAGCAGGTGGCTTGGCTTCAGCTTGGTCCTGTCTGCACTGGGGAAGCTTCTGCCTGGCAGAGCCGCTCTCTGCCGACCATCTGACCGTAGCCTTTCTCTCCCAGGGAGCCCGTCTATGGATTCACTCCTTTGATGGAAGCAGCTGCCGCCGGCCATGAAATAATAGTACAGTATTTTCTGAATCATGTAAGTGACCCTGTTTATTAGCTTATAGTTTAGTCACAGCAAGTGAGGAATGATTTCCCTGAAGCATTAACTACAGGAGAATTTCCTCCTGCACAGAAGCAACTGCTCTATTTATTCAGCACGTTTTCATCGAGGTCATTGATGCTGAGTGTTGCAGGGCACTTAAGCATTAAGGATACAGTGGTGAGTAAAAACAGACCCCTATTCCTGTAATGGTTTAGAGAATACTATTTGCAAAGTTTAGAAAATATATTTTTAAAAGTAAATAGTAAAACAGACTCCTATTCCCATAATAATTTAGAAAATACTACTATTTGAAAAATTTAGAAAATATATTTTAAAAAGTGAATAGCACCCATTATCCCTTGACTTAAAAAAGTTATAGAGAAAGAAGGCAAAGACCTTCCCCGCTTGTCGAACACCCTCTGCTCCTCCCCGAGATGCCCTCCTGGTTTGATGACCACAATTTTTCTTTTGCTTAGAAAGGTATGTCTATGGACATCTGTAAACAACACATGGCCTTTTTTGAACAAAGTGGGTTTCTACTGTGTATTTACTCTGCAGCTTTTAAAAAATCACTCGGTATGCCACAGACAGTTTATCCCTGAATAATCCATGCCACAGTCAGTCAATTCCTCATTAGTAAGAATTCTGCAGTTATAAACACTGTCCCAGAGACTGTCCTTGTAGACACAGCTTTAGCACACATGCAGTTATTTCTGTATATTGTATTTCTACAAGAGGGATTGCTAGTGCCCACATTTTAAATTTAACAGGGCCTGATAAAAGATGGGCAAAGAACCTGAATAGTTATTTCTCCAAAGAAGATATACAGATGGCCAATAAGTATGTGAAAAAATGCTTGATGTAATTCATCATCAGAGAAATGCAAATCAAATCTATAGGATTCTGTAATTTAAAAAAATGAGTTGGTGAGGATGTGGAAAAAATACCCTGCTGGTGGGAATATAAAATGATCTTTGGAAAAGAGCCTGGCAGTTCCTCAGATAGTCACACAGCACTTACAGGACCTAGCAGTTCCTGGGTGTCTACCCAGGAGAACTGAAAACAGCAGGTCTATGCAGAAACCATGCACAGAGGTCTCTGACAGTGTTACTCATAATAGCCAAAAGGTAGAAGCGCCCCAGATGTCCGTCAGTTGATTAGTGGATAAATGAAAGGTGGTGCACCTATGCAATGGAATATTAACTAGCTACAAAAAGGAATGAAGTACTGACTCATACGACTGTGTTGGCGAACCTTAAAAATATTGTGTGAGTGAAAGAAGCCAGACATGACCGCATATTGTATGATTCCTCTTATATGAAATGTCCAGAGTAAGTGTATGTACAGAGACAGCAAGCAGACTGACTAGCAGTTTCCTCGGGCTGGGGATGGGAAGGCTGGGGCAGGACTTCTTCTCAGGCTGATGAGAGTGCTCTGAAATGGATCATGGTGACAGTCGCATGCCACTACATTGTACACTGTGGTGTACATGTGGGTGAATTGCATGGTATATGAATTATATCTTAATTTGTTTAAAAAAAAAACCAGCGAGGAAATACTTAATAAGTCCTAACAAAGTCCCACTAAAAAGGCTGTTATCCTTCCACCAGTGGTAAACATGAAGGGGCACATTTCCTCACATCCTCACCAGCCCCAGATGTTACTCATCTTAAGTTTTGCCGGTGTGGTGTGAGAAAAGTGGCACCCCATTTTTGTTTGTATGTTGAATATTTTAAAATATGTTTATTGGCCATTTGTATTTCTTTTATGAATTGTCTCTTTAAGTTTTGGGCCCAACTTTCTAGTGGATAATTTTTTTTCTTACTTATTTGTGGGAATTTTAGAGTAATAAAACGTTAACAAGCTGTCTCTTTAAAAAAATTTTTTTTAAATACATTATAGGTAAAAATGCAGATGAGACAGAAGGCATGCAGCGAGCCTGCCTCCCACTGTGGCTCTTACCACGGCTGCGCCCAAACTCGCTTTTTTTTTCTTTAGTTTAACTGTCTATTCTGGGGACTGTTTGTGTCAGTGTAGATAAAGCTCTCGGCTTGCTCCTTTTCTTGGCAGCATGGGACTCTTGTAGGGATGAGCCAGTTTCTTTAATGCGTCCACAGTGTCCGCAGCACTGTGCAGTACAGTGATTCCATCTGTGCACAAATGTCTCCTCACATGTGTCAACCGACTCTACAATTCAGTAGTAAAGGGAGATGTTTTGGGAGAAGTTTAAATACAGTCTTAATATGGGTGTTGCCAAATGGCCAACTGAAGAACAAGTTGTACCAACCTACACTCTATACAGCCCCAAGAATTGTGAAAACTATGAACACAAAATACAGAAGGTAATACTGATGCAGCTGACTCCCATGATCCAGAAGTGACCCCTGTCCCGATGTCGGTCTGTACACTTCCTCTCCCGGAGTTTACACCTGCACCCCACACTGGGTGTCCTTGGCAGGGCGTAGGCTAGTTTTCTGCGTTCAGGAGATGTGCATAAATAATGTATCAGACTGTTTGGGTCATTCAGAGTGCTGGTGCGTGCAGAGACTTTTCACTCACTTCAGCAGCTCTGTGTTGATGGCAAGTGTGAGTATAGCACACCTGCCCATTCTTTTCTCACTCGCTCTCACAGTACTGCCGGTGGCAGTTTTCACCAGTCTTCCAGAGCACGGGTGAAGGGACCGGGAGATGAGGATGTGTTTTCTAAAGCAGAATTTTTGGTGTGAGGATGGGCGCATCTCCACTGAGCACTGACTTGCTTCCCCCTTAGTTGTCCCGATCTACACTTTTCTGAGAGCATTTTACACTCCTGTCCTGCGTGCCCTCAGTGGTACCTGGTATTGTGAACTGTCTCCTATTGAAATTTGCCTTTCCCCGATTTCTGGTGAGGTTGAGCACCTTTTCATAGATGTGTTGGCCATTTGGGCTTCCTTTCCTGCAAATAATTATTCTTTAAAAGTCACTCCATTCGATGAATGTGTATAACTAAAGGGGTAGTGTAAGGGAGATCTTTGTAGTTTTGGGGTTGTTTGTATCTTGATTGGGGTGGTGGGTACATAAATCTACAATAGAGCTATGCATTGTACCATTGCATTGTCAAATTCCTGGTTTTGATACTGTACTATAATTATCGTAAGATGTAACTACTGGGGAAAATGGGACCTTCCTCTATCTCTGAAATTTCCTGTGACTCTACAAGTATTTTAAAATAAAAAGTTTTTTAAAAGACAAAAAAAAAAAAAGTTACTCCATTCACATGGACTAAGCATCCTTATGATATAAATAGGGTCAGGAGGAGATGGATGGGAGCCCAAAAACAAAAAGCATAACCTCTGCTTCTCAGTTTGGAGTCTGACTTTACGTAAGGTAGAACTGGAAGTCATAAGAGACGGTTACTCAAATGATTTTTAAAATGTAAAACATACTGGAAAATCAGAGACTTCAGACCATTTATTTATTTAACAAATTTTTTTTATTAAGGTATTATTGATATATACTCTTATGAAGGTTCCCATGAAAAACATTTACTCATATTATCGAGTCCCCCCTCTTACCCCACTGCAGTCACTGTCCGTCAGTGTATATGTACCACCTCTGCTTTATCCATTCATCTACTGATGGACACTTAGGTTGCTTCCACATCTTGGCTATTGTAAGTAGTGCTGCGATAAACATAGGGGTGCATCTGTCTTTTTTAATCTGAGAACTTGTATTCTTTGGATAAATTCCTAGAAGTGGAATTCCCGGGTCAAATGGTATTTCTATTTTTAGTTTTTTGAGGAACCTCCATAGTGCTTTCCACAATGGTTGAACTAATTTGCATTCCCACCAGCAGTGTAGGAGGTTCCCCTTTCTCCGCATCTCTGCCAGCATTTGTTGTTCTTAGTCTTTTCAATGCTGGCCATCCTAATTGGTGTGCGGTGATATCTCATTGTGGTTTTAATTTGCATTTCCCTGATAATTAGTGATGTGGAGCATCTTTTCATGTGGAGCATCTTTCTTCTTTGGAGAATTGTCTGTTCATATCCTCTGCCCATTTTTTAATTGGGTTATTTGCTTTTTGGTTGTTGAGGTGTGTGAGTTCTTTATATATTTTGGATGTCAGCCCCTTGTCAGATTATGTCGTTTACAAATATATTCTCCCATACTGTAGGATGCCTTTTTGTTCTGCTGATGGTGCCCTCAGATCAGTTATTCAACACGCAGGTTACACCCTAACTTGGTGCCCTCACTCCCCCTAGCTAGGCCTGATTATGCTTGGGCAGCTCCTGTTGAGAGAAAACAAATTATGTTGGATTTCTTTTGGAAAATTTTTAAGTTTCAAATTTTGAAATAATTTCAGACTTAGATGTTACAAAATAGCACAAAGAATTTGTGTACCTTCACTAGAATCCCCAAATATTAACATTTATGCCACATTTTTTTTGTAAGTCAATTTTTCTTATACACCTATTATCTTTTTAGAACCATTTGAAAGTAATTTACTGACGTAATGCCTTTTTCCCCCTAAATACTTTAGTATGTATTTCCTAAAAGCAAGAATTATCTCTTTCATAATCACATAGTTACTAAATCCAGGAGATGGACATCGGATGTCTGGGCTCTTCCTCCAGTGCACTAGTCAGGAGGCCGAGGTGCTGGCCGACTCCCGGCATCCCTTTCTGGCTGGGGAGGGCAGACCCGGTCCTGGAGGTGGAGAGGCGGCCGAAGCCGGAAGGAGAGGGCGCAGCTGCCCCCCTCGGCAACCCGTTGCCCTTCCTTGTTCCCAGCAGGACAGGCCCCAGCAGTGGTGATGTGTATGCCATTTCGTGTCATCCATTAAAAAAAAAGGCTCCAGTTTTATTGATACAGAATTGACATATACATTGTATAAGTTTAAGGTGTAAGACAGTACAACTTGAATTGGGTATATATTATGAAATGATTACCAGAAGAAATTTAGTTAACATCTGTCACCACTCATTGTTACAAATGTTTTTTCCTTGTTAAATAACTGAAAAAAGGACTTATAATGTCTTTGTGCCTTTCCATCAACCTATAAAAGTATATTAACAAGTAAGCTCAGAAAAATATTTTAAAATACAAAACTTATAACCTCAGCAATAGTGACTTAGTGGGGAAAGCATCCTATAAGTTAATAATGTAAGTAATGTAAACATTTTCATGACTTTAAAAAAATGTGAAAATAGTATAACCTACAGGCTTTCAGAAAAGCCAAAGACTAAAATACAGAGGAAAAAAATCAATTAAAAATTTTCAGGGTAAGCATTAAAAAACCTCCGTCAGTCCTCACACTCCCCCAGCCTCAGTGTTGACACTGGACAGATTTCTACATAAATGGGGTACGTGTACGTGTGCAATGAGCTTTTTCTTCATGTTAACAAAATATCACAGACTGATTTCTGTACATTAGTACAGAGAGCTGCCTCCTTCTTTTTAATGATTATCCAGTATTTGGTATTGATAGGGCCTAATTTATTTAACCAGTCACACATTAACAGGAGTGGCGCTTTCCTCGGGCTGCTGCCACAGATGCCACAACAGGGGCGCTTAAAGCGCGTCCTCCCAGTTTCGCAGGCCGGACATCCAGACCCGAGGCGGCAGCGGGGCCGCACTCCCAGAGGCGTTGGGGAGCCTCCGTCCGGGCCCGCGAGCTGGTGTCGGCCCCTTGTAGCCGCATCGCACGCCTCTGCCTGTGTCGTCACATGATTCCCTCCCGTGTTTCTGTGTCGTCTTATCTTTCACGTACAATGACACCTCCCACCTCCCACGTAGTAAGGACGTACCACGGCCCTTTCCCAAACTTGGTCATACCATCCACTTGCAAATACGAGCCCTTACGGTGGTAACAGAGCTGACGCCCCCGCCACCCCAGGCATCTGGCTCCAGGTTGTCATTATTGCCTATATGTTGTGCTAAACATCTTTGTGCATAAAAGCTTTCTCTGTATTTGGGGTCATTTCCTCAGGGTGGAGTCACAGGAAAGCAATCACTGTGCTGAATACTATACGGACCTTTGAGGGCTTTGGATACAAGTTACCTATTTCCGAAGGGTGGCGCGCCCCTTCGGATTGGTTCCTGAAGGCTGCCTCTGTAGTGAATGTGTTGTCTGCAGTTTCCTGCGTGGAGAGAAGCGAACCGGCCACGGGCCGGGTGCAGACGGGGAAGGCCGCGCTGCGCCCCCGCGGCCAGGGGGGGCGGGCGGCGCGCTGGGCCCCTGCCACGGGCCCCCGCCTCCTGTCGGTGAGGAGAGAGTGTGGGGCCGGCGGGCCTTTGCCTTTCCCACGCAGATGTGGGGCTTCAGGGGTCCCAAGGCGCTCTGCCGGGGCGGCCCCCAACCCGTCTCCCTGCACGCTTTCGCAGGGAGCCCAGGTGGACAGCAGAGACCACAGCGGGGCCACAGCCCAGATGCTGGCCAGGCAGTGTGGGCACATGAAGATCGTGGGGCTGATAGACGCTCACTCGCCCTCTCTGCCCAGGAGCCTCTACCGGAGCCCAGGTACCCGGGTCCCCGCCTCGCCAGGAGACCCCGTCTGCTCTGCCGGTGACTCCGGGGTGCAGCCGAGGCTGGGGCTACGGCCCGCCCGCCGAAGGCCCGCGCCGTGCGGGGGTGGGAGAGGCGCCCTCGGGGAGGTAGGAGGGCGGCCCCCTGAGGGCGCGCTCGGCTTAGCAAAATGTTCCGATTCTGAATCAGATTCATGGGTCTTGCACTGCCTGTGCACGTGGGTCGCAGGAGGCCTGCCCTGTGCTGTCTGTGCAGGAATCGGCCCGTCTAACTCCGGCGCTTGCCTGTCAATCTCCCGTCCGCTCACACCGCGTGGCGTCGGTCTGGGTTCCCCGCCCGCTCCGGGCGGCACTGCCGTCGGCACTTGGGTCCCCTCACCCCTCTGCGCGGCGCTCTGGCCAGGCCGCCTGTCGCAGAGCCCGCGTTCCCCTTCGTGGTTCTGGGCCCGCGAGTGCCCCGCCGGCATGGCGTTCGCCGCGCAGACCCTGGGCTGCCCTCTGGGCTCCTGCCCATCGCCTTCCGTCCTCAGTGTTTCCAGCTATTGCTGCTTTTCCTGTATGAACTTGAGCACCAACTTGTCAGCTATGAGCTGGTGGCAGTTTTGTAAGTTAAGTACCCCAGTACCCCTTCGTGTTAGGTGATCCTAACGGCGAGGCCGTCCCTTTGTTCCGGTGCGTTCTTGTGTCCCACCGGAGGGTTTTCAAGTTTTCCTCATACATGTTTTACTTGTAACTCAGGTTTTTTCCTAAGTGTCTGATTTTCTTTGTTGCTACTGTAAATGGTGTTTTACTATTGTGCCCTCTGCTTATCGTCTGCATGCCAGTTTTATACTCTGCTGCCTGACTGAGTTCTTCCATGGCTTGTGTTTATGGATTCTGCAGGCCTTCTAGGTGTACCGCCGTGTAACTGGCACCTGGGGCGTCACTGGCTCTTCCTGGTGTTACGCCTCCGGCTTTTCCCGTTCAGCTGCCTTGGCCAGTCCTGCCAGTGCCGGCAGAATATAGCGGGACAGCAGATGTCCATGCGGTCCTGACCTTAGTGGAAATGCCACAAGAAGTAAGATGCTGGCTTTAAGAATAAGGTGTGCATGTATTTTACCATGTTAAGAAAGTATCTTGTTTTTTATAAGAGTGTTGCATTTTGTTAAAGCCTTTTCAACAGCTTTGGAGATGATTGTGAATTTTCTCTGTAGGTCTATTAATAGGGTATATTAATGACTTTCCTAGTAATGAACTTACTTCACATCATTTGGCATAAATCCCACTTGGTGTATCATTTCCTCATGTGGTGTTGGATTGTGTTGGCTGTTATTTTTTTTCCAGTTTTTGTGTGGTTTTTGGTTTATAAATGATACCGTCTGTACTTCTTGTTCTGTCTTCAGGCGTAGGCATCATTATCACAACAAAAAAGTTGCTCATGTTTATATTCAGGAGATTTTTGCCCATGTTGTCTTCTAAGAGTTTTATGGTTTCATGACTTACATTCATTTCTTTGATCCATTTCAAGTTTACTTTTGTGTGTGGGGTTACACTGTGATCCAGTGTCATTGTCTTGCATGTAGCTGTCCAGGTTTGCCAACACCAGCTGTTGAAGAGACTGTCATTTCCCCACTGTATGTCCATGGCTCCTTTATTGTATATTAATTGACCATATATGGTTGGGTTTATATCTGGGCTCTGTATTCTGTTCCATTGGTCTATTTCTGTTCTTGTGCCAGTACCAAACTGTCTTGATTACTGTGGCTTTGTAGTAGAGCTTGAAGTTGGGGAGCAAGATCCCCCTGGCTTTATTCTTCCTTCTCAGGATTGCTTTGGCTATTCGGGGGCTTTTGTGGTTCCATATGAATTTTAGATCGATTTTCTCTAGTTCATTGAAGAATGCTGTTGGTAATGTGATAGGGATTGCATCGAATCTGTAGATTGCTTTAGGCAGGGTGGCCATTTGACAATATTAATTCTTCGTATCCATGAGCACAGGATGTGTTTCCATTTATTGGTATCTTTTTTAATTTCTTTCATGAGGGTCTCGTAGTTTTCAGGGTATAGGTCTTTCACTTCCTTGGTTAGGTTTATTCCTAGGTATTTTATTCTTTTTGATGCAATTGTGAATGGCATTAGTGTAGTCATTTTTTAATTCGGACTTTTTTTCTCTATTTCTCTCCTGAGCTGTTTTCTCCTCTCACCATGTGTCTTCCTGTCCCCAGTTTTGTATTTCTGACTCAGAATGTGTCCTCGTACCCCAAAGGCCTGTTAAAGGATCTGTGGATTCGGAGTGCAGTATTACAGTTTCCTTCTGCTCACCCCTCGTTGCTTTTTGGAGGAAGGGGCGCGCTCTCTTCCGATGTGTTTGCTTCTTAGTCTGCACCCTCCCTGCAGTAGTTGCATGGAGATGAAGGTTGTGTGTGTCGGCATCTCACCCAGGAGCTCCCTCCACCACCTGAATCCCAAGGAGAGTCTCCTCACTCCATGCCGCCCTTTTCTGGAGGGAGGGGGGGTGGGCCTGATGTGAAGGGATGGTTTTGTCTCCCTGGATCGGAGCCCTCCCTGCTTGCTCCGCCTCCTGGAGCTGTCTGGGCAGGAGTTCTGCAGCTGCTCCCGAGGCCCCGTGTGTGTGCTCCCCAGGCCCCGTGTGTGCATGTGT